AACAAGGGTTTAGAAATCCTCTTGCCTCAAATAGTCGAACAATCACTTTGGAACTTGAATCTTCCCTTTTGCTGGACTTCCAAATCAATACAATCTATTCAAATAGATAACCATAGTAAGATTTCGAAACTAACAACACCCATATTACTATAGGTCTAGCATAGACCCAAAATCTCATACAAACCTAAAATCAAGTTCCTAAATTTTGATGTCGATTCTCATGTTTTTTTCAAATTTCAAGGCTAGGGTTAAGTTCCAATATATCAAACCTTGAATCATAATGTAATAATCTTAAGAAAATTCTTAACGGAAATTTGGATAATAAATTACCAAGATAATATGTTAATTCACCATAACTACCAATTGGAAAACTGAAACCCTTTTGAACTAATCCACTCACACTTATTACCTATCTCCCAATTCACTATCTCATAGATAATAGCAAAAAAGATAAACCCATAATTAATTATTGTCTCATAGGAGCCTAACAGGAACTTCAACCTACGCGAACAACATACATATACTAGTAATAGCCATTCCTACCAACCAATCATAATCACCGCAAGTGCTACTAGGTAATGATTACCAATTCACAATTTTCTTTTCATCAAACAGAAACCTTACCTCAATTATCCATGATGCCTTTGGTAAATGTGTGCCCGCTGCAACAGTTTTCCTCTTTTCGTTCATGCTTTGACTCTCAAAAATGCCAGCCTCATTTAACTCTAATTTACTCGTATATATGGGCCAAATGGTACTGAATATTCAATAACTCATGGACTTGGCCCATTAATTATTAACTAAAATACTGATCTGAAATTATCCACTAATTAAATAATAATAGATACTCAGATACTTCAAAATTTCCAACCAACTTCACACGCTAATTATATATGATTCGGGTCAACTATCGAGAGGGGTAAAACGATAATTTTATATAAAGAAAAATCCAAAAATGACCTTTTGGGTCATTACAAATATAGGAAAAATTTAATTTACATTTCTTGATTTAGTAAGATGGACAACTAATACGAGACAATCAATTTTAATATAATGATCAACTAATATAAGACTAAGAAAGTAATAGAAAGTTCTCACAATATAATGATCAACTAATATTGGACGGGAACCGAGGAAATTGTAAAAAGTTTTGCGAAGATAAAAGATTGTCAATAAAAATCAGATTTTTACTTAACAGTACTAGGCTACTTCTTGGAATTCTTTGGGATGCTTCTCAAATTTCAGCTGGCTATCAGAAACCTGACTCTGCACTTGTATAATGACTGGAGAGACCCCATCAAAGTTTCTTCAGAGAAAAGGTGAAAAGAAGTTCTAAAAGGTGGAAAATGAAAACACATGGAGGGAGAGGCATTGGCTGGCTGACACAAAAAAGAACCCTACGACAAATACACAACAACTTTTAAAAACTACGGGGCATAAAATTCAAAATAGTTATATATTCATATCTCAATTCAAAGTAATTCAAGAAACACTCATTCTCTCAAAAAAAAAAAGTTGCAGCTCACACCTCCTTTCGTTAAATACAAAATCAGGATCATATACATTGTATAGGTATCATTAAGGTTTCTTGTTCAGAAATTGTTCATTAATCAATGATACTACAATAAAAAGGAGCTAATAGTACTATTGCTCCCTGTCATTGTAAGAAGGAATTAAGTTGTGGCGTTCAATCTTTAGCTTGAATTGAACATTATCATATCATGTTATAACATATGTGTATGTTTGAAGTTTCAATCTGTTATATATGTGAGTCAATTTCGCGTACATTGGGGTTCAGTTACATACATCTAATGCCAGTTTAACGCTCCTTAGAATGATAGCTAGCTTTTCACTTGGCTCGAATCAAAGAATATCAGTTGAAATTTATTCATTGAGAGGTACAAACATTTACAGAGAACTCCACAACTTGAAGAATCAGTAACCAAAGAATACAGAATCGTTAACTTAGAACCAAGTGAATTTTCCATCAACAGGCACATAGGGGACCAAAAAAATTCCTCCAGGCATTTTCCAAGAAAGTTAACTTGTAGGTATCTATGCACCCCTTATGCTTGAATGATCCGATAAATGAGAGAAGGATCGATTCATGTTGTTCATCGGAAGAGAGTCTGCGAATGCTTTAGTAAAGTATTCAGAGGCTTGTTTTGAGCTTTACACAACAAGTTCCTCACACCTGCAGTCACCTAATGAATAGTCCAAAATCCAAAGTCAGAAAATGAACTAATACCATCATGCATATAGTAAAGAGTTAACGAAAAATCAACCTTTCCCAAACTTTGTTTTGCATAAGGAACAGTTCTTTGATATCCAATAGCACTTGTCGATGGAGGAGATTTCCGGCTTGTTTCTTCTCTGCACGGAAATTTCCCTCTGCTACTACTCCTTGTTGTTATTGAGGAAGGACTACTCTGCCACTTATCGATCGGAGAAGTTGGAATATTATGCTGATAAGAAACAAAAAAAATAACCTCATAAGTTTTATTTTCTTGATCACATAAAAGGTCGTGTATTTAATTTGATCAATATTCATGCATACCACTTGACTTCTACTTCTTGTAGTAATGCTGGATGTGCCTTGACAGTTCCCAATTGGCAAATCTGGTAGACTTGATTCCTAACAGTAGAAATGAATCGCGATTAAGCAAAATATAATCAAACTTGGAAATGGTTTTGCCACGATAAGATAAGTTACAAAACATACAAGAAATAGAACTGTTGCACAATGTTTTAGGACTTCCAAATTCATCCGAACATCGTCTAAGCTCCTGCCATTCACGTTAAACAATCCAAATTAGGATCCATTTTCATGATTTTTTTACCATAAAGTTTAAGCTTTTGAGTCTAACCTGTGTTTTTGCACCCCGAGATCAAAGTAAGCTGCTAACGAAGCCATCTACAATAACGAATAATTTAAGAAGCAATAGTCAAAATTGAACTTTATATTGAGTGAAATGTACATGGTATACCTTCATGTTTCCAGCTCTTTTACCAAATTTCTCAGATAAAACACCTAAGGAATCGATAATTCCAACAGGCACAGGTGCAGGGCAACCAATTTCAGCGAAAGCAGCCTTAATACGAACACAATCGAATCTCTGTATATTATGACCTGCCCAAATCCTACCATCCAAAATGTTGAAGATCTTTTGTGCAACTTGTTCAAATGAAGGTGCATCAGCAACTGCTTTTCGCGTAATACCATCGACTCTCCCTGACTTTAATCCAACAACTGACAAGTCCCCTGGCCTAATAAGGGTGCAGTAGCTCTCAAGTTCAACAAGCTTTCTTGAACAAACTACCATTGCACCAAACTCCAACACCCAAAATTTCTGTCCAGGTTTCGATGGAACGTTTGTTTCCAAGTCGAAAAACACAATCTCTGAGGACCTTTTGTTGATTGAAATGTTAGGAGTTGCCATTTTTTTTTCCTTTTAGGGGTTCAACAAGTTGTAAGATAGTTTGTTATTTGATGAAGTGATGGAAATGATGGTCCATTTGTGTTATATATATATGGAAAAAAATCAAAGAATGTAAAGATTGAAGAATATTCTTTCATGTGTATGAGAGACATTAATTGGTAGATTGTATTGTAAATCAAGTTAGACTATGTTTTGGTGTTTGTACAAAGTTGTCCTTAGCTTCTACTTGATGATATCCTTTTAAAGGGAATTCCAGTTAGATAGGTAACATTCCCTCTCCTACTCTCAATGGTATTGTCAACCTGATATTGGTTGGATAAATTATCTTCGTTTGTTACGTATTATTTCATAATGTATCGTATCGTATTGTTAATTTCACACTTGTTATTTTATTCTTAATGAGAAGTTTAATTTCATCGTCACACAAATGTTATGGCATGTTTAAGATCATAAGTTTCAACAATTTTATAGCCACACACAAATGTTATGTCATGTTTTATATCACAAATTTCAAAAATCTTCATTTCTTTATTAAACTTTTCATCAGTTCAAACTATGTCACATCAATTGAAACGCGGAAGAAGTATTATAAAGAAAGTACAACTTTATAAAAGTAGTCCTAAAAAGTTAAAAATATTAGTTAGGCTAAATAAGTTTTAACTCGAGAAAGTACAACTTTACATTGGACTCAAGATGAACATAATAAGAATAGAAAGATTACACGTTTTGAATAGTAATATAAAAAAACATGCAATTACTATTGCCTTTTTGGGGTTTAAAAATATTAAAATACGTTTTTATTTTATTTTATTAATTAATGAGAAATTGAAACAAAAGGAAGTCCAACAAGATAAGTAATTCCCTGTTCCCTTACGTTAGTTAACAGAAAATGTTGGCAACACATGCTCACAAGTCACATGGTACCATATCACACGTTAACTCTTTTTTGATCCGTTAAATTATGTATAAATTTTTCATAATTCATAAAACTACTTCCTTTAACGAAATATGAGATATAATAAATAAATTCATCAAAATATGAAATATAATAAATTATATCTACCAAATGATATGTTGTCAATTGAACTTCCATGTTACACCACCAAGGTTGTGGGATTGAATAGGATTTGTCAATTCTTAAAGAAAGGTCTCAAGTTCGAGTCTTATGAATTAAAAAAAACTAGTAAATAGAGGTGGAGTCAAAAAACACTTTTCATATAGTTTTTGAATATCTAACATTTTATTTTAAATCATCAAATTAATGTAATCTAATTTAGCTTTGAAAATTAGTCAATTTGACTTTCGAAAAGCACAACGTAACAACTACAAAGGAACAAAGGGAGTACTATATATATAGAAAGAGAATTGTTCTCGAAGTTAGTGGGTGCACGTGATCCCTTCCTCACCACGTCGGTACGCCTCTGCTGGTAAGGAACCTTCGGGCATATCTAACACGTTTAAGGGCGAGAACATTTTTTCCAATTACTTACAAAGGGCATAGTTAAGTACAAATTAATAGTTGAGGGGTAAAATTGTGACTAATTCTACATCACTAACTGGTAATTTTAGAGATAAATGTCACTCAATTATTTTCATTTTCAATCATCAGCCAAGAAATTGCACACAAATTTAACAATTTCAGTGTACATATAATGAGAGAACATGGAGGGTTGGGTCAGACTACACATTATTTATGCATGTTTGGTTGTAGCAGAACCCAAATAAGCAAACATTACTGATGCATGTTTTACACTGGAACAGGAGGTTTGAGAGTAATCAATGCTTTCTTGATTCTCTCCACAGCTGCCTGCAAGGTCGAAAGCGATGCTGCATAGGAGATACGGATACATGTGTCATCCCCAAATGCATCCCCGGGGACAAGCGCAACCTGTTTAAGGTAAGAGTATGGCACATGCATTAGGGCATGGAGAAAAGAAATGAGTGGCAAGGAGCAGGGGCAGAGCTAGAACTTTTTGAGAATGAATTCATAAAAAGTAAAAAGAAGAGGGGGGGAGTAGCAGGTAAAGTTGCTGCCATGTGACCAGGAGGACACGGGTTCAAGCGTTGAAAACAGCCTCTTGCAAAAATGCAAGGTAAGGCTGCATACAATAGGCCCTCATGGTCGGGCGCTTCCCCGGACCCTGTGCATAGCGGGAGCTATTAGTGCACTGGGCAGCCCCCCTTTATTCAAAAAAGTAGAAAGATTATCTCTCTAGCGAGAATCGAATCTGCAACAATGGGCTAAACATTAAGACCTTCAGCTGCTGAGCTAAAGTTCATATTATGTTAAGGGGATTCAAAGCTTAATATCTATACACTCATAAATGAATTGACCTTATATACACAGTGTAACTTTCTAACGATGAACCCGTAGTTCTGCCCCTAGCAAGGACCTAATGCACAGCTGTCAGATTTTTCTAGAATTGTCTTTCTGGATTTTGACCAGATTATATTTGCCTAACAATCTAGAATGACATAGTTAAGATGGAAAGCTTTTCTGCAGAATCCACAAGTTAGATGCTCAAGTAGATACGCTCACATGGTCAGTATTAAGAGTTGTTTGAAAGCTGCAGTATCCATATTTTCTGAATAAAGGTCAAGAGACTGTATCCTTGAAATTATTTTTAGTGCAAGCAACTTTGGTCCTTTAGGTAACTAAACTTCCTGCACATCTGTCATTTTGTAATTATGCTTATTAAAGTTCAAAAAATGAAGAATCTTACTTGAGATTTATCCAGTAAATATCGGCAAAGAGATTCTGAGTTGTTGACGGTGCCAAATCCATCAACCTCTACTCCGTAATAAGAGCTTAAATCAATAAATAAATAAAATGCTCCCTGCAAAAGAAAACAGGAAGTTTGGGCTCAATTTATCAGGGGTAAGAGTGCAAAAAGGAAATAAGTGAGCAGAGTCTACAACTGCTCGATGCACATAATCCTGTTTCTCTACTTTTCAAGTCCTCCATCAAGAAACTTTACTATTAAGTACACTCATAATTCATACAACTGGACTGTTACCCGAGGCTCTGAAATTTTGACACTATCAATTTCCCCGAAGCTCTTGACAAGGAAATCTCGCCGCTCACGAAATGCTTTTAACATAGTTGCAACTGCTTCTCCACCAGCATAGCCCAGTCCCAGAGCAGCCACACCTGCCTTTTGGGAGATGCTACTTGCACCTGATGTGAACTGCAACAGCAGAGAAATAGATTTAAAAGTGAACTCTCACATAGGGGGAAATAGACACTGGATAATATGAAGACTGTTATTTAGACAGTGAACACGTCTTTTACTATTTTCCATGGGTCTATAGTGAATAGGTTAAAATTCTGCCCAAATAAAAGACCACATTCAATGAAAGTACTTCAATGGACACATTAAACACACCCCAATACATATGGTCGGATGAAAACTGGTTTTGTCAATCATGTTAAACAAAATCCATTAATGAAACTCAGTTTCCAGACCAGTTAACTTGTTAATAAGAGTTCCGAAGGTAAAATACCACATTCATTTAAGTCGATAAACTTATTAAGAACAAAAGATATTACCTGGCTCTGTAACTTATTACATGCAGAAATAAAGTGTTTAGGACCAGCAATATAGCCAAGTCTCCAACCAGTCATTGCAAAGGCCTACAAGAATGCATATATTATAAGGCACACCTCCAGATATATATTCCAATATATGTAAAAGAAATAGTCATTGCCAAGGAAGAACTAAGGAATTATAATTTTCATACAATAAGAGCTGCATTACCTTAGAGAAACCATTTACAGTGAGAGTCCTATCCCACATACCAGGCAAAGATGCAAAGCTGGTATGAGTTGCTGGTGCATAAATAATGTGTTCGTAAATTTCATCTGATATAACCTGCAGACCAGAAAGCATTTTTTGTGGGGCGGGAAGGGGGTAGTTCAGATTCAAAGAACAGATTGGGATCATATTCAGGACGAGTTAGATATGATGAACCTACAAGAAGCCTCGGATGCCTAGCCACAATCTCAGCAATCTCCTCAAGCAATTTCCGAGGGTAAACAGACCCTGTTGGGTTGGATGGAGAACAAAGAATCAGAACTCTTGACTTTGCAGTCAGTTTAGATTCAAGAAGCTTTGGATCTAATAGAAAATCTTCAGATATGCTGGTCGGAAGAATCACAGGCGTTGCATCTGCCATCCTTGCCATTTCAGGGTAACTCACCCAATAGGGAGCTGGAATAAGAACCTGTGCCGTGTATGTGGGTTAATAAGCCAACAAACTTCAGAAGTGAAGTACTTATATCTCAGAGCTAACAAACAATCTTCAGTACATAAACTGTCACTATGGCAATACTAATTGAGTGATTTCTATTGTAAAATTCCACTGCTTAACATCCATATTCAAGGAGGAAAAACTAAAGAGTATCAAACCTTATCCCCTGCATCTGATACTTTAAGATAGAGAGAAGACAAACGGTAGATACTTCACCAAAATGAAAGTTCTCTTTTCAGGGGGAAGGGGAGGAATGCAGCAAACTGATTTAAGTAATGGTACTATAACATTATATTTCCCGTCACAATTAAACCAGCTATAGTATTTTTCTACCAAGAGATTAAACAATAGAGAAAAGGTGAAATATGCTGGCACTTCCTTTAGTGAAAACAAAATAACTCTTTTGAGTTAAAATTTTGTATCCAAACAATGAGTGCAGCAATCAAAAGAAAAATAGGCGTTTAAAATATCAAACAGTTATCAACTTTTTAAGTCATTCACCACAAAAGTGAAATTGTGGGAAGACCCGTTATAACAAAAAAATTATAAAGAAGACATGTTATAATAATTCAACATGGAAATGACAATTATGTGGAAAGTTAATAAACCTTGGATGTGTAGAGTTACCTCATCCCCTGGAGAACAAACTGCAAGCACTGCCTGAACACTACTTTGTTTTGCCCCATTGCTTACCACAATCTGATCAGGAGTGTATGATAGCCCGTTCTCCTCTACATCAAGAAATTAGATCAGAAAAGTAAATAGAAACAAAAAACTGTGTAATGAACATAAACTAGAGAAATTAGTACCTTTTAATTTATGACAAATAGCCAATCGAAGTTCCATTGTACCTGCATTTGGTGTATACCTGGTATGACCTTCACGAATTGCATTTATGCCAGCCTGAATAAGTGAGACTAATTTAGTAAATAGAGAAAAGAGTAGAACATTGATTTCCTCAGAATAGGTACAGATCAGGTTACGTGATTACGAAATATTACCTCTGCAATTGGGGCTGGAGTATCAAAATCAGGTTCACCAGCTGCTAATCTAATAACAGGTACACCAGCTTGCACGAGGGCAGTTGCCTGATCAGTTATAGCAACCGTTTTTGAAGGCTTTACTGAATTTACCCTGGGGCTGAGAGAGAGATCAACCTCAACTCTGTCCATGTTCTGTGCTATGACAACTGAACCTGTTCCACGTGAGTATAGCTGTCTCTTTGACCCTGAAGATCTGCCAGACATATATAAACAAATATTCTGATTCAGCAAAAACATATAGGAGGATTATTTTTTTACAGAATGCTTACAATGGTTCAATGACACGTCCCTATGTCATGTTATTAGAGAACAGCAAATATAGGAAAGTCCATGTTTTTATGTCTTTGTCAGAGAGAGGATAAAAACAGTGAAAAGATTTCTCCTCAAGCTCGTGTTACCTTTCTATAAAAATGATATCTCTTCAAGCTCTCTTTCTTTCCTTTTCCCCTTTCTTTTCTTGACTGGTAATAATAAGTTCAAATAATAAAAGTAGCAAATCGCATTTACATGTTCATTCACACATTTCAATATTACAACTTTTCTCACTTACGGTTAAAAGGTTAACCTTCTTGGGATGGCCTAGAGTGAAAATCAGGTAATACACCAAAATTGACAGGGAGACACTATCTTTGCAATTGGAAACATTTTATAAGCAGAACCAGGGTAAGCTAAAGATTGAATGTCAAAAAAAAAAAAAAACTAACACAATAGATTAGAAAAACAATAGTGAGAGAACAAAAGGAAAAGAGAAGGCTTGTCGTCCCCAATAAATAAGAAGAAAGATGAAAGATTACACATACGTCACCATCATTAAATAATGGTTAATTGGTTATACTTGCAATTCTTTATCAAAAAATAATCATACTTAAGATCTTTACCAAAAAAGGATTATACTTAAGGTTCTTTATCAGAAAATGATTATGCTTAAGATTCTTTATCAAAAAATGATTATGCTAAGATTCTTTATCAAAATATGATTGTACTTAAGATTCTAGCAGTGGCTCTCTCTGTAGCATTATCTTCTTTCTTAGCCACTAACTATTAATTAGAAAACTAATAACAGTGATGACATTAATTAGTTTTGTGGCCCAAGGTTTCATAGAGTGTCAATTACTATAAGAGTTTTTGACCAAAATCATCCCTATTATTTCACCCTAACTTCCATTACATCCTTATGCTATCCTACTTAACCAGCAACATCCTTAAAGTTTTCCAAACTTCACCAAAATCATCCTTCTGTTAACTTTTCCTTCCTTTTCTAACAGACCCTTCTTTTGTCATGTGACCTCATACTTTTTTTCCCTTATTAATTTCATACAAGCTAGCTCTTTAAAGAGCAGAAACAATTAACGGTGATTGACATAAAAATCAATAACAATATAAAATTTTCTTCACCAATTTTTTTCACTCTTAGCATTTTCTCTCCACCAAGACTAATTCCTCTATGCTACAACTCTGCAGCAAATGCTGGAGTGCTGCACGAATCTTTTTAAGTACCCTCCTAGTTTAGTTTTCATGATCATCCATTCTCTTTTCTTTTCATACACTATGGATATTTCTACCTCCAGCCACAGATCTTTAAACAACGTCGGAATAGATCCTCTAGTCGGAGAACCAGCTTAATTACTTTGCGAATCCTGTGATACAAATTTCTTCCCAGAAAAGTCAAGACGATACATAGACTCCAACTCCGAAGCAATTGACGTCATTTTGGGGATTAAACACTTTTAAAAAGAGATGAATACAAGATTAAAACTTTTAAAACCCCAGTATGATATCCACATGTGCAAAGTATACAAGTAGCTATCAGGAGTCATAAGAAACTAGGCAATTCTTGTGTATCGGGATTCTGCTATCTCATCTATCTTTCTGCTGTCCTCTCTATTTCATTCAAACTTTGTTCTACTGTTTCATTGCTATTAGTGGCTTGTAATTCTGTTTAGTTAAAGCTAATATAATCAGTTAGTTTATTGATTTGTCTGGGTTATTACACATTGACTCCAACTCCGAAGCAATTGACGTCATTTTGGGGATTGAACACACTTTTAAAAAGTGTATATGAATACAAAATTAAAAAATTTGAACCAACCCCAGTATGATATCTACAAGTTCAAAGTATATAACCTTCTAACTGTGACTTCCTATCCCCTTCCTCCTCCCTAAAGATCGAACCTCTACTGCATAAAAATCGAAACTTTCACCTTCCCAAGCATTTTCTCAAGTCCAAAAAACATACTAACAATAAGATTCCTCTAACTAAACAAAAACTAAATCCACCAACTTTAATATTTTGTTAACAATTCAAAATTCTTTGAGGTAATTACAATTAACAACCAAAAAAACAAAATTACCTGAGAGAGAGACCTTGGAGGGTTGAAGAGAAGGTGATTGATCTGGGGTTGAGTGAATCTGAATGAAGTCCAGAAATGGTGGGTCTTGAACCAATTCTTGATGAACCCAGTAGAGAAGAAGATGAAGCAGCAGTCATTTGGTGGGTTCTATAAGCAATTTCAAAGTTGGGTTTTCAAGTGGACGATGGAACTTCATTTGAGCGATGGAATAAATATTTTTTTATATAGAGAAATGGAAGAGGGTTGGTAAGATTAGAAGAAGAAGCCTAATTGTTGTTGGAGGCTGCTTTGCTCTTCTTGGTTGGTGAAGTAGTTGTTTTTTTTCTTTTCTTATTGGCTTTTTTTTGTTTTTTTTTAAATATGTATGGTTAGTTTAAATATAATATTTATTTTAATGATTTTTTAAATTTTATTATATCGTACCGTTTAAATTTATTATTAGGTAACAATAAAAAAACTCATTTTATGTAACGATCGATTGGGTGTGATCGCGTTGCTACATTAATATTTTCTTCTCATTTTGTATTTAATTACTATTGTTTAATAATTATTTCATCTTTTACTTTACATTTTCATAGCAGATCTATCTCGTACCCTACTTTTCTTATAGCTTTATCATTCAAATTATAAATGTGTGGCATTATATAACGACAAAGAACGATACAATTTATCCAAACACTATAGTAATAATACAACATAATACGATACATTATAAACCAATACATAATTAGCTAGGATAAGTTTTTTTATTTTATAAAAAAAAAATAGCTAGGACAACAAGTGTGCTTGAGTTGTGTACTTGTGTGCTTGTAAGTCAAGGATATGGGAAACCATTCTAGTACTTTCTTTGTTTTACTTTCCTTTTTGATATTTTACGTAGTTAAAAACTATTTGAAATGTAGTATAAATCATAATTAACAACATAAAATGTTCGATTATATATATTTAAAAATTACGTTAAAAATACTATAAATCGGAATAATTAACAGCTTAAAATGTTTTTAAAATATCTCAAAAATTTGGTTGACTCTCGCAATTCTACCAATGCTACGTAAACTGAGATAAGAGAAAAAATAAATATTATTTGAAAACTACATAAAGAGTACTATAAATCACAATAATTAACAATTTAAAAACGTATAAAAAAAATTGATTGGATCTCTAAATTTCATCTGTGCCACGTAAACTGAAACAAGAGAGTAACACATATTATTTAAAAATGACGTAAATATTATTACAATCAATAACTTCAAAAAATATATAAAAAGTTTAATCGACTCTCCAAATTTCATAGGTATCGCACAAATTGGCACTTTAATCTATTCAATAATTTATTTTTAGCCTTGAAAATAAATTTTGTTAAAAGGACAATATCAAATTCAAAATCCATCGTCAGTTGATACAGTACTCAAATACTAATTTGTTCTTTGTAATTATCAAAAAATTTAAGTTTCAACATAGCAACCAAAGCCATACTTAATCAATCGGCGTTAGTTGTAGACAACTAGATTTGGAAGTGTGATTTCCACAATATTTGCTTTGTATATTCAATAGTCAAATCTAGAGTTCTAATGTATCATTAATTAGTAGTAGTATTTTAAATTATTTGAAATTAGTACATTATAGTTTTCTTCTTTCTTTTTTCTTGATATACACGTAGGTTAGAGGTTAGCATATTTTTATTTATTTATTATTTACCAAAAAAAATTCTCAAAATTAGTACATTTTTATCTTTATTTAGTAACATTTTCAATTGAAGATATGCAGAAATCCTCAAATCTTACAAGTAGTAGTTAAAAATAGATATATATTTGTTTGGAATTTATATTGTTTTGTCGAATTATGTATTCTCATTTAAATTGAACATCATCTTAAAACGATATCTTCAAAAAACATACATAAGTAACCCTTAGAAATAGAAAAAAACACGGTCACTATCATCATCAATTACTTTTGTGATTTATTGTAAGTTGAACTAACTTGAAATTTTGGGTGAATGAATCAAGTAAAATTCAATATTACAATATTTTTTAAAACTAAATCAACTTTGCTAAAGAATTTGATTATGTACATTTTAACTTTTAAAATGACATAATATATCAATACAAAGATTCTGAACATCATCACTCTAATAAGTACTATTATAAGTGTATCAATAGAAATCTTACATTATAAAATTTAATAACCAAAATAAAATCGAATTGCGTCTCTACATCAGCATTGTTTGATCATAGATTTTTTTTTTTTTGTTTTTTCTTTGAATTTTATTCTGAAAATTTATTTGGACATAAAATTGTGTAAATTTTTAGAAATTCAAAAAAGTTCAAAAAAATATTTTCACAGTTTTCACTTCAAATAACTCACAAAAATAATTTCAATTTATATTAATGTCCAAACACAATTCCAATTCCTAAATATCAGATTATTAGGGGACAGATCATATTAAATAAGAAAGTATATAAAAGAATTCAATATTAGTCTTTACCATAATTTAGCTAGAAGTGTATTTTATTAAATTAACTTTGTTAATGATTATTTTGAAATTTTAAATTTGACTATTATTTAAGAGAAATATTTAATACTAAGAATAGTATGAGATTTTTTTCTTCTTAATTTTAAAAAATAAAATAAAATAAATTAAGAAGCCAAGTAAATAAAATAGAGAAAACAAAAAGTATTCTACACCAAAATAGAATAAATATCTAACTAAAAAAGTTTTTATGAAAATTGAAAGCAAATTAGTTTGGACCTTTTCTCAACCCCACGTTGCCATTAGTGAAAAGGGAAAAGAGCACGTAGATACAGTTTAAAGTAGTGTATTAACACTCTGTTTGGATCATTGTTACTCATTGTTTTATAATGTATTGTATTGTACTTTATTGTAATGTATTGTATTGTAGATACAATGTTTGGCTAGACTGTATTGTTTGTTGTTGTTTAATAACATTTTAATTGTTTGGTTTGATTGTATCGTATTGTATTGTAATTTATAAATTTACTAAAATATCCTTAATTATTTTAGGGCAGGAGGTTTGACTAGAATTAAATAATATAAGATAAAGGGTTAAATAGTATTTTGAAATATTATATAAAGATATAATTGGAAAAAGAAATTAAGTAACAATGGGAACACACCAAATCGGTTGTTCCATTTTTTCATTGTTACGTAACAACGAAATTTAACAATACAATACAATACATTTTAAGTAACAATCAAAACAAACATTATAGGTATAGTAACGATACAATACAATACAATGGGTAATAATGATTCAAACATAGTGTAAAAGGAAGAGGCATGAGGTGAGGCGAGACGTTTTATACAGCATGGGATGAGGCATAAGTCTTGAGACACGAACATAAATTTTATAGATCTACATGACATACATTTTATGTATGTTCAATTTTATAATTTTTTTACTAAGATATACAAAAGTAAAACTTTCAATAGTTCTAAAAATAAATTTTAAGAAATCATCATTAATATAAAAAAAAATATATATTATAATCATCTAGGACATATACCTTATAAATCCACGCCTTCAATTTGCACTAAGGGTGGGCATGGTATAGTGGTATTTGAAAGTTTTGATATCGTAATTTTGGTATTCGATTTTTAAAACATTATAACATTACCATACCAATTTAATTCGGTATGATTCGATATATTGAAATTTGATTTCGGTATTCTACAGTATGGTAAATCGGTAACAATAATTTGTTCAAATTTGACTAATATATACTCCTGTAATAAAGTATTATGACTTCGACAACTAAAAAAAGGTTCCAATTGTATCATACTAACACATTAGACGTGTATATATATATATATATATATATATATATAAACAACTCTTTAGTTAATTAAGGACAATTCAAATACATTTCAATCAAAATAGAGTAGTCAAAGTTTTAACTTCTAAACATTTAGTTTATACTAATACTAGGTTGCATATTTGTTAGTGTGTGTGTGTGTATATATATATATATATTATTTATGTAACTATATACTTCGGTATACACTACTAAAAAAACAGTGAATACCGACCTCAAATGGAAGTCGGTAATTTCCGACCTCCGGAGATCGATATTGTTAAAAAGAATAAAAATTAAATTTGTTTTAAGAAAACCGATTACAAGGAGTTGGTTTTTATGCAAAATAAAGCGGGAAAACCAAATACCGACCTCTGGAGGTCGGAATTTTTCCCGAAAAATGAATTACAATAAAAACTGACCTCTTGATGTCGATATTAAATAAATAACAAATTTTTATTTTTTCTCAATTAAATATAAAAAATAAAATTGAGAAATATTTTGAGTTAATTTTATTTAAATCGTCTTCCGGAGGACGGTTTTGTGTAAAATAAAAAACAAAAAAATTATAATGTCGACTTCCGGAAGTCAGTAAAATTAAATAGTATGTAATTAAATTAATTTTCATTAAAATATTTATATAGTGACTTCCAGAAAATTAATAAATTAATATTTTCAATTAACTTTAAAGAAAACCGTCCTCCAGATGACGGCTTTATATAAGTTAAAAAATAAATTAATATAAAATATCGACTTCCCGATGTCAATATTATTTAATTAACATGCTTACTTTTTATTTATCTTAAAATTTAATGTGAAACCGACCTCATGAGGTCGGTATTTTTTATTGAATCTAATTACTTTTAATAAAACCAACATCCATAGGTCGGTTTGTTTAAAATTGTAACACCCCGACTTTTCAAAACGTCTAAATTAACTTGTATACTTCGTGGAAAGATAAGGAGGGTGAGTAATAAATTAAGAATGATGTGGTATGTCATATTTTAAGTGTTTCAAGAGTTGTATCTCAAGTTTTGAAGTAAGGTAAGTCGCAAAATAAAAGTGGGCGAAAGTTATCGTAAGTTCCTTTTTAAAGATTTCTCTAAAATTTGGGTCAAATGTATTGGACGTTTTCTCCCAATATATAAAGAGTTAGAAGGACTATTACCCATTAAATCGAAGGCCAACGAGTCTAGTTTGCAACGCACAAAACCCCGTATCAAACCGACATCAGAGTAAAAAGTTATGAGGGTTTTACTAGGGACTGTCGGGGCAGAATCCGGGTCGGGTAAAAAATATGGTATGTCGGCTTATTTAGCGTTTAAAGCCATGAAAACATTTCATTTCAATTCCAAACCAGAGAGAAAGCTTAAGAGAGGTTCATATGGAGTTCTAGCATGATGAAGGTTAGTTTTGATGATTTCTACCATTAAACATTGCCCCCGTGCCTAGAAATGTAATCCCTACACGTGGCAATCGTT